AGCACAGGCCATGCCTTCCCCTTGAGTGGACAGAGCACATGGCTCTGCTAGAGCTCTAATCAGGACTCCCAGTCTCCACAACTGTAAGAAGATGAATTTCTCTTTTGCCAAGTCATCCACTTTCTAATACCATATTTCAGAAGCCTGAGGGAAAGAAGACATCCCCATTCCTGCCACCCCTCCAGGTGGACAGGGGAGTGTCGATGGTCTGACCCTAAAATTTAAGAACATTAAAGGTCACAGAAGGCCTGACCAAGGTCAAGCTTCTCCCAGAACTACCACAGGAAATTCTTCCCCCATCGGCATACAGAGAATCTTTAATAACAGGGCAGGATCTAAGGGGAGCTTTGTAGCTGTGCCTGGCCCTTCAGCGTGAGACACGCTCTAACTTCCGGCCCTTCGGGCAGACCTACAATTTGGTGTGTCTGTGTGTGGTGTAGAAGTACTTGTGTACCTCATATGTCTTGCACAGACCAGACATCTGAACAGTGAGTGGCATAGCCTGAGGGGGCATCTAGAACCAGCTGGTTAGAGGTGGGGTCTTGTTTTCAGGTTTAAGAATGCACATCATCTGTTAGGGTCTCCTCAGCCACAACCGTGCGGTGGCCTCAGCCAAGATGCGTCGTCTTCCAGATCATCTGAGAAAGGGACAGGGATGGCTGCTTGGGGTGGCTCACAGAGAGCTTCTTCAGCTCAATGTGGTTGAAGGTGGTGTTGGCTTATGTGGCCAGAAACCTGGAGAGCTTGACCAATGGCGACAGACACAGGTCCTGACTCTTTGACTCCTTCCTTCAAACCTTGGTCCCTTTCTTGTGGCAGGTGCCAACTCCACGTGACACCTCCTGTTCAGTCAGGTCCTGATCACTGGAAGATTTTGAAATATCAAATGTCTCTTCTTTCTCCTCTTTTGTATTAGCTTCCTGCATCCTTCATTTCCAGGAAGCCAGTTACTTCACTAAATGAGCCCCAGCCATGGACCTCACCCCAGGACTCAGACAAGGCTCCCACCTGAGAGCTGCCTCTTCCTGGAGGCCTGGCTTGCTTCACTTCCGGCACCCTTTCCCTTTCCCACTTCCCTGATGCCGGGAAGACATTTAGCATCCACACTATACAATTTCATTCTAGATTAAACACTGTCAAGTGTTTCAACAATTTTATCATGGGTGTCAGTCTTTACTTCACCTGTGAGGAACTTCTGGAGAGTTTCTTCTCATCAACAAACGTTCTCATTGGTGATAGCTCCCGGCACTGTTGACCACTCAGGACACTAAGTAAACCAGCATTTGTCTACACATATTGAGCATACATATGGAATGCCAGGAGAACAAACAGGTAGGTATATCTTGGAGAGGGTGAAACCAAGTTTCTCCTTGGAGGTAAGGATTTAGAAGCTCCATCTCACATACGCTGGGAATGTGGCCAGGAAGGACTAATACTTGGAGAAGAAAATCATGCTTGGAAAGGTAGAGGGACAGCACAGGAGAGAAAGACCCTGGATGAGATGGATTGACATTGTAACTGGGGTAATGGGTCAGAGTCAGTGAGACGGGCTCAGGACAGGGTTCAGAGCTATTGTGCATAGTGTTGCTGTGAGTCGTGGGTGACTCAATGGCACACACCAACAATCCCTGTGACCATACTGTGGTAACATAGGTTGAAGAGAATCGTGCTGCCAAACCAAAGGCTGTTTCCCCTGGCTGTTCAAATCCACCAACTGCTCCTCAGGAAAAGATGGGCAGTCTCATTAGATTTAGTGTTTTCCAAACCCAGCAGTGAGAGGGTCAGACATATAACACTGAGTGGAGGGAGTGAGGGAGGTGAGTGAGTGAGTGTTAGGATATTCACCCTGTGAAGACAGGGAGTAGACCAAGCCAACCCATCCACCCCAGGCCAGGCTCAGAACTGAAGGGCTGGCCCCTGTTTCCCATGAAGTTTCTGGAAACAAAGAAAAAGAAGAAAAAAGAAGAGAACCAAAAAGGAATTCCATGGGAAAGTCTGAGTCTGAACTGCATGTCTCCCTGGCCTCTCCTAGGCCGAACGAGTTTTCTCATTAGTTCAAGTTTTTTGGAAGTCAGTAATACCACCAACACCACCATTCCCAATTCCTCCAGCTACCCATTCTTGGACATCAATGTTTGTATGAGGCTCCTGTGAACAGGGTACTCTTTCTCTCCATCCTTGGTCTGCATCTGGCCGGTAGGTTGGATGGTTGATGACTCCCAGGACTAACACATGGATGAATTCCTGACGGGGTGATATAAGAGCGAGCTGGCCCTAGGTGAGCTCTGGAATCATGTCCTCTGGAGGAAGAGCCGAAGTTCCTGCTTATCTCCTGTGAGATTCCATTGACTTGATAGGCTGGTTTGGTTTGTTTTTAAATTTTTTTTTTCAGGTATTTGTAACTTAGAACATTTATGAGCTATAATCATAACTTGGCAAGACATTTTATAAGAGTAGCTCTACAAATTGGTACATACTAATGTCTGGAGGCCTAATGGTAATGAGTTGGGCTGCCAACCCCAGGGCTTGATGGTTGAATCCACTAGCTGCTCCTTGGAAAAATGTACAATGTCCTTCCTTGTGGTTTATAGCCTCTGAAAACTCACTGGAGGGTCAGCTATGAGTTGGTTCAATTCAACAGCACACAACAACAACTTCTACATTTAGTTGCTAACAAATAGATTGCCCCCCGCCCCACCATGAGTCCAATGTTCTTTATTCATCTCTTGTATTGGAAGGTCAGTACTTTCCTCAAAGGTGGGGTGAGAATAATCTTTTTCTTGGTCACCATCAATAATCCTCAACCTTGAACTTGAAGGAAGCCTTCAAAGAAACAGGATGGCATTAAGTTCTTCTACAGTAATTTCCTGACCTTCTCTGCACATTTAGATCTCCTGGAAGACTTTGGAGAATCTCAGTGCCTAGACTGTACCTTGGGTCTGTCGTATTAGCGTCTCCCTGGAGATAGGACCCAGGCATTTTTGTTTTCTAAACTCCCCAGATTGATACCATGGTGCAGCTAACAGGGAGAACCTCTGCTTTAACCTACACACAGTTGAGACAAGTGAAAAAGCTAATTGTGAAAACTGGGTTTGTGTCCTTCAGTCAGCTTTGAAACCAGCCAGAATCCTCATTCTGACCCCTGCCCACATCATCTCCTTTACCTTTATTCTGAGACGTACCCATGGCCCACCTCCAAAAGGATGCCAGAACCCTTTCCACTCATGGAGTTTGAGCCAAACTGCTGTGCCTAAGAGCAGTTTTAGGACTTGAGAGAAACAGAGACTTACAAGAAATCCCAAGGACCAAAGGGTTGCAAGCCACCCTGCAGCAGTAGGTGGCATGTGAAAAACCACAAGCGTCAGGCAGTGGCCACCCCAGCCTCAGCTCCCTTATCAGGGGAGAACTTGCTCCCTTGTTTTTGTGTGTTGTCGCTGCTCTAGTCAAAACCTCAACTAGGTTTTGCTTAGCCACTTTCTCCAGCATTCCCTACTACAGGTATTGTTCTTCTTGCTCTTGGTTGTCTACTCATAGCAACTCTGTAAGGCAGAGTAGAGCTGTCTTTTAGGGTTTTCTAGGAGGATGACATAGTATCGCCTGGTTTTCATTCTATTGTGTATTTGGTTGCTGGGAATCAAGAGTTGATTTAAGGGAATTGACCACCAGTAATGACCTTTACAGAAGCAAATTGCCAGCTCTTTCTCTCAGATATTTTCCTCTATGAGTGAGTTTGAACTGACTACCTTTTGGTTAACAGTTGAATACTTAATGCACACCACCAGGGCCTTTCTCGGTAATGCAGCAGTAGCTTTGAAAAAGTGTTGTGTCAGAGAGCTGGACAAGGACTAGGGAGGACAGAAGGAGAATTGATGCCTTTGAGCTGTGGTGCTGGAGAAGCGTATTGAATATACCATGGAAAGAAAATGAATTGGTTCAACCTAGAGAGGGTTAAACCAGGCTGCTCCTTGGAGTCAAGGATTCTGAAGCTTCATCTGACATACTTTGGACATGCTGCAAGGAGGGACGTGTCCTTGGAGAGGGATGTCATGCCTTGGAGGGTGGAGGGACAGTGCAGGAGAGGAAGACCCTTGAGATTGATTGATCAGTGACTTGGGTAATTGGGGTAGATATGTCGGAGACGATTAGCACAGGATAGAGCAGGGTTTAGGGCTGTTGTACATAGGGTCGCTAAGAGTTGCAGGCAACTCGATGGCACATAACAATAAAAACAGCAGCAACAACAACTTCCATACCACATATTCTCTGTTTCTGTTATGATTATCTGATTTCTGTGCTAGATAAAAATAGAGCCAGATAAAAATAGAGCCTATCAAAATTAGAGTAATAATTTTTTAAAGTGAAAATAAATTAAAAAAGCAAAAATTTTAAAAGGTAAATAAATAAATTTAAAAAAAAAATCACTCTGGTGGCTTAGTGGAAAGGAGTTGTGCTGTTAACGCAAAGGCCCACAGCTCAAATCCACCAGACGCTAAGGGGCAGAAAGATGGACAATCTCCACCCTTGCAATTAACTGCCTCTGGAAACATGATGATCAGCTATGAGTCGGTTCTGACTCGATGGCACTTAACAACAATTGTTGTTTTGTGCCGTCGCATTGCCTCCAACACATAGGGATCCAATGTACACTAGCTCTGAACTCTGCTCTGTCCTGAGCCACCAGAGTTTATCTTTTTTTCCCTCCCTTGGACTTTGGAGGAAGAAGTGTAGTGAAGAAGCTGTGCAGAGGCGGACAGATGCCCCCACTCCATCTTCCGTTCCGGCCGATGAATTGCTCCAAGGCCCACTCCCTGTGCAGGGCTCCAACCCAGAGATTGACACAGCACACCGAGAGCTAAGAATCACTTATGTATTCAGTTTGCTAAACGCAGGTGGGGCCGGGGCTGGGGACGGGAGGACGAACACTGGAAGGGCTGCCTGGCTGGGATGACACCGACCTACCTACACTAAGTCATCTCAGTTAAGCGTCACTAAGCTTCAACTTACACAGCCGTCTTCCTACAGGAGTATCGGCTCCCACACGGGTAGCAGGGGCTGCAGGGGCTGCTGGGGCTGCAGGGGCTGCTGGGGCCGCAGGGGCTGCAGGTGTTACAGGTGTTACAGGGGTTGCAGGGAGAGGCGCCTGGGGAGGGGGGAGACTCGATCTTGACGCAGTTGTCGAGCCCGTAGGAGTAGGTGACGTCCTTCTCATCCACACAGGGAGGCAGGCTGAACTCTTTGCAGATGTTCATGTAGCTGTACTTTTTCGACCCGAGACAGTCGTACCTGTTCTCGCGTTCCGCCGTCACGCTCACCTTTCCGTCCTTCACGCGCACTTTCACCTGATCGGGCTCGAAGCCACACACGTTCACCGACCCGAGAATGTTGCTGCTGCAGCATGAGGAGGCCAGGATTCGATTCGTGGTCCTTCGCAATCTGGAATTGGGGGTAAGAGAAAGAACAGGGGGTGGGGATGGCAACAGAAGCAGCTCAGCTCTCAAAACCAGACACATCTTGAGAAACAACGCTTCCATCACTATTTTTTTTTAATAGCAAAAGTAAGCTCTAAGTCTTTGTGACAAGTCAAACCCTATAAAGTAAAAAGTGATACAAAGCCTCCACCCATCTGATGTAATAAAGTGTAATCAACAACAACCAAAAAAAGTGACTTTTCTCCTGAAGTCTCACTCTCCCATGGTACCAGGAATCCTCTGTTAACAAATGGGTCTTGTAGTTATAACCCAGCTCCTCCTTTTCTTAGTTGTGGAATCATGCACAAATTCCCTAACTTCCCAGTGCCTCAGTTTCCTCATCTGTAAAAATGGAGATAATAATGGTGCATAAATATCCCACAGACGGCCAAAAGAACAAACAGGTTTGTCTTGGAGAAGGTGAGGCCAGAATGTTCTTCAGAGATAAAGATCATAAAGCTTCCTTGCACATACTTTAGTCATGTTGCTAAGAGAGTCTATTCCTTGGAGAAGAACTTCATGCTTGGAAATGTGGAGAGATGTTGAAAACGAGAAAGACTCTCAACCAAGTGGATTGACATAGTGACTGCAGCAACAGACTCACAGGTGTCAGAGATTGTGAGGATGGCACAGGATAGGACAGCGTTCAGATCTGTTATTTGTAGGGTCACCATGAGTTGTACTCAACTTGATGACTCAACCTACCACAACCAACAAAGTTATCAAATCACAATATTGTTAGTAACTAAGCAGAAGCCATTTTCCTTTAATTATTACTTTGCTTTCAAATAATGTATTGATGTAAGTTCACAAGTACTAATCACCACAATATTAAAGCACCAGAAAATTTGACAAAATCAGTAATTATAACAACAACAACAGCAATGAAATAGCGGCACATTCTTGGAACTCAGGCAAGTGAAATCATGTACTTGGAAGCATCATTATAATTGAGTTATAATGACAACTCTGATCAGAGCACATTCAAAGGTTCAAAAAGTAAATTAGTGAAGACTTAAGCCTTATTGATATATTGACACATGTAAAGATGGCTAACCAAAATGGTTTTTTGTTGTTACAAATAACTGTAAGGATAATTTAATAAAATTAAGAATAATTTCATAAACCTAATTAAGGATAATTTTATAAAATTAATTTCTGGTTAAACACTACACAAAAGCTGTATTGTCATTTTGGTGTCAACTCCTGTGACAGTGTCACTCGATGAGGTCCACAGGTTAGTACCACCACTGATTGTTCATGTCTCTTCCCAGCTCTTCATTCTGTGAACCTTTAATTATGCTTGAAATTGACCATGATGGGAAATTGGGAAATGCTGTACATCCGAGTTTATTCTCATCTCCTAGGAAATGTTAAACATCATAACCTGTGACTCACCTGCTTTAAAGTTGATGGTTAGCTTTAAAAATGCAGCTTTGGAATGGTATGGACTAGTGGATCCCATTATGGCTTGGTTTTCTTTTTTCTTTAATAAAGAATCTCTAGGTGTTTATATAATAGTAGTGATAATAATACTCACTCTTAAAATGAGCTCTGACCCCCTCCTGAAGCAACATCAATGAATCCCCGCTTCCTATAAAGGCTCTTTCCTGCTAATCAATCCTACAAAATGTATCCTTAGTAATAGTAATAAATAAATCACAGCCCCTCACACTAAGTAATTACCTCTGGAATACAAAAAGGAGTGCCCAAGAACGTAAAAGTTACAGTTTTTTAGTCTGTTCAAAGCTTGGTCTTGCCATATAGCACCTTGTCTGCATAGGCAGAAGAGATAATCCCAACTCACTAGGCATGTTGCAAACACTATGTCATGTAATCTTCACTACGCCTTTGTGGTGTAGCTGTTAGTATCAAGATTTACCGATGAGGAACTAGGAGAGGTGGTAAATGGCAGAGTCCAGATTCAAATTCAGCCCTACTAAAACCAAGGTTAAGATTGTAACCACAAGTACACTAAGTCCTTCAAATAAAAAACGTCCTTGGCCACTGGCCCTGTATTTTGTGAGCTCATTTTCTTTTGACTTGCTTTATCCAAAAAACGTTCTAACGCTGCTTTAAAATGTTTTTCCTTTTTATCATGCAAAACCAACTAGACAAGTTCTAAGAGACACTCCTGTCAATTCCTCTTTCATCTCTTGGCCTTCCAAGAAAGGGCTTAATGTGATTTCTAGAACTCTTTCTAGGTTGAGAAGTCTAGACTCTAAGTTTAAGTGATCGGTTTGAAGCATATTTTTAGTTCCTACATTTTATGCCAAACTTTGATTATCTATTTACTTCTTTTCATTACATGTTAAAAAAGACCAGTGTGGAAAAATCAGAAATTACAGATAAGTTATTTTAAAAATATCTACAACATTTTTGTGTGTCTACACGTATGTGTACATGTAGAGAGATCTTATTAAATTGTGTTATATATACATTTTTCCATCTGTATTTTCTACTGATAAGCTGTATCTACTGATATACATACTTAATTTAGCAACAGTATGAAACCTAGTACTGAAGCATCCTAACCAGGACTGTCGTCTTGGGACCTACTACAAAGTGATCAGAGAGAATTCAGTTCTAGAATGTTGTTGTTGTTATGTACCATTGAGTTGCCTGTGACCCATAGCAACCCTACAGTGTAGCAACTCTGAAACCCGCCCTGTCCTGAGCCAGTCTCACTGACTGACACACCTACCCCCATTGCCCTAGTTATTGTATCAATCTATGTTATCTGGGGTCTTAGTTATTGTATCAATCTATGTTATCTGGGGTCTTCCTCTCCTGCGCTGTCCCTCTGCCCTTCTGAGCATGATGTCCTTCTCCAGTGACCAATCTCTCCTGGCCAAAGTAAGTGAGGTGGAGTTTCAAAATTCTAGCCTCCAAGGAGAGACTTGTTTTCACCCCCTCCCAAGACAGACCTATTTGTTTTCTTGGCAGTCCATGGTATGTTAAAGACTGTTCCAGCCTCACAACTCAAAGTCATCAATTCTTCCGTCACTGTCCAGCTCTATGATGCATAGCAAGCAATTGCAAAGACCATGACCTCAATCAGGTACACCTTGGCTTCTAGACTGATATCATTGCTTCTCAGTTTTCTGGAGAGGTCCAAGGCAAATAGGAGCACAAAACGTGGTGGAGTCATCCAGAATATGTAGATATTCAGCCCCGTTGGCTGGCATGACTCCAGCCCCAAGGATGGGCATAGTCACAACCCCTTTACTGTCCTGGGTTGTCAGGGCACCTGCAGGCCATTCAAGGAGAAAGGATGACATTTGGAGCTTGTTTAACATCTTAATCTCTGTGAGATAACCAGAACACATCACTCTCTACCTAGATGTCAGCTACTAAGAGTAGAGATGTCAGCTACTAAGAACTGCAGAAAACCAGCCCCAGCTCTATTCACTGCACTCTCTCTGGATGGCATAGAGCCTTCAAACAGAAATAGTCAAGGTCAAGAACAGAGCACAGCACCTGCTGAGTCTCTTAAAAATCTTCTACGATAACCATGATGAATGGACCACGCTAGAATGATAGAAGAATGTGCAACAGAACTCAAATTCTTAAGAAGTCTAGATTTACTACAGCACTTGAGATTGAAGGACTCTTGGAGACTATCAGCCTGAGATATTCTTTAAACTTTGTACAGAGACTATCCCAAGGCCACCTTCCACACAATAACAGATTGGCACACAAAAGAATCTCCCATGAGTATGAGGCTCCACTAAAGATTCATCTCTGTCAGACCAACAATTCCTCTAAACATAAATAAGAAGATACAGGGTGCAGGGAGGACAGAAACTGGAGTACTTGAAGTAGAACAGTAAGAACATAATTAATGAAAATAGTAACCCATGGTAAAAAAAAAAAAAAGCGCAACTGATGTCACTGAACATTTTGTGGAGGACTTGTTAAATGGGAACCTAAATAGTTGTATAAACTCACCAAAACAAAAATGGAATATTTAAAAAAAAATTAAGAAGAAAGAATCTTCCACAGTACAGACTGAGTTGAAGTTCTCTCCCTCAGCTCAGATTTTTCCACCCAAGATGAGAAGCATCTAAATATGTCATGAAGAAGGGATCGTGTCTCACAAAGAAGGGTCAAGGACACCAAGCAGGACTGCAGGGTTTCTAGCATCTACTGTCACAGTGGATTCCACCAGATCAAGGTGAAATGGGATCAAGAGATGGACTTGGGAAGCAGGTTTTTAAGCCAAAATTGGCTCTCGGTTCCAAATTCTCAAGAAAGTACCATCATAAGCAACATCTGCATTCCAAAGTACAATTTTATGCGTGATATGGTTTCAGGCCCCCTTCTACTCTATCTCTAAGTCACCTTATCTGCCTTTGTTCCTGCAACAGCTGCACATGGGCCCCCAAATCATACGGTTTAGGAGATGGCCTAAAATATCTTCGGAAGTAAGAGTCTTCTTCCTCTTCCTTCTAGGTCAAGGACCTCAGTGGAAGATGTGTGGATTTAAGCAAAATTGCAGGAGACTTAACTCTGAATTCATCAGACATAACCCTGAACTTGCAACTCCAATTCTGCCTGCTCATGTTCTCCATACCCACATGGAATTTTCCATGACGGTAGGATTCTCAGTAGGGAGATGACCTCCTACTCTTCTGTTATGAGGTTGAAGGTTAGCCACAGGAAGGTATGGAAACTTTGATTCTTTGCCAAAGCGCCTTTAGGAGGGTTTGGGGAAAACCTTTCCTGAGTCTACTTCTCCCAGGTGGAGCTGAGTAAAACACATTGCCTGCGGCTATACTGAACTATTTATTTAGCCATTATCACAATGATGTAAAACAGCTCGAGTCTATGAATAATAAAATCATGAAAATGTGGAAAAACTAACCAGACCCAGGAACACCAGAGAGAGGGAGGCCTTCCTCTCATCTTACGTGAGAGGTCCCTCCCTAAAAAATCCCCTTTCCAAAGACTCATTCCATTTAA